TGGATTTTGGTTGGGGTTTCTTTTTGGATTAGGTGGGTAATATTCTTTCTTTGGAATCCATTGGCTGTTAGTACGTTGGTGAGAGTGTGTAGTTCGGTTTTTAGGTGTTGTTCGTCGGCTAAGCATTTTGTTCTGGAGATGAGTGTCTCAGCTATGGAATTGATCTGTGCTGGGTGGTGGTGTGAGAGTGCGTGTAGATAGCGGTTTGTATGTGTTATCTTCTGGTAGATGGTGTGTCCTAGGGAGCCATTGGATTTTTTGTATACCAAGACATCTAGGAAGGAAAGTTGATTGTTAGCTTCTGTTTCCATGGTGAATTGTATTTTGGGGTGTAGGCTGTTGAGGTGTGTGAGGAAGTTGTTCAGTTTTTCTTTCCCGTGTGGCCAGATTATGAAGGTGTCATCTATGTATCTGAGCCAGAGTTTGGGTTTGTGATCATATTTTTCTAGAGCTTGTGTTTCAAAGTGTTCCATGTAGAGGTTTGCGATGACAGGTGAGAGGGGTGATCCCATGGGTGCTCCTTCTATTTGTTTGTATTTTTGTCCATTGTAGGTGAAGTATGTATTGGATAGGCAGTGGTTGGTCAGATCTAGGATGTGCTTGGGGGGGGGGTTGTATTTGTTTTGGATGGCAGTCAAGGCTTCTTTTATTGGCACTTGGGTGAAGAGGGATATGACATCGAAGCTCACTAGTAGGTTGCTGGGTTGTAAGTTTTGTTTCTTTATGATCTCGATGAACTGGAATGAGTTTCTTACATGTGAGTTGATGGATTCTGCATAGGGCTGTAGTTGTTTGGCGAGAAATTTGGCTAGGTATTGTAGAGGTGAGCCTATGGAGCTGACTATTGGTCTAAGTGGGGTTCCTTCTTTGTGTATCTTGGGGAGACCATAAAGCTTAGGGCATCTGGATGATTTCTCTCTGGGTATGATTCTTTGCTGGATTTCTTCACTGATGGGGGAGGCTTTTATTTTGGATCTGGTGGTTTTTTCTAGGTAGGTGGTGGGGTCTGTCTTTAGGGGTTTGTATGTGGGGTCTTGGAGTAGGTTGGTTAACTTGGTTTGGTAGTCAGATGTGTTCATAACCAATGTCGCGTTGCCCTTGTCTGCTGGTAGGATTATTATGCTGGTGTCTTCTTTCAGGTTAAGTAGTGCAGTTTGTTCTTCTTTGGATAAGTTGCTTTTGGGTGGTTTGCTAGTGCAGAGGATGTTGGTGATTTCAAGTCTGATTCTATTAGCATCATCAGGGTTGGTTTTTTAGTCAGGCTGGTTTCAACTCCGCATATGATAGTTTCTGTGGGGATGTGTTTGGGAGCGACAGCAAAGTTGAATCCCTTTGAAAGGACCTTGGTTTCGGCTTCGGTGAGGATCTTGTCTGAGATGTTGTGCACTGTTTGTTTCATATATATATAAATGCAGATATTATATTAATATTATTATATTAAATTTTTAAATATATGAATAAATAAAATTATTGATGTCTCAATACCATACAAGAGAAGAATTAATTGCTATGCCAAATATGAGAACGCTCAATTTTAGGATAATAATCTTTATGTGTAATAGGCCCTCAACAGCTGCCTGCACAGGCAGCCACGGGCCTTGGTGCTCGCTGTTGTGCTGCTGTGTATCTATCTTGAACTGTGAGGGCTGCCAACTAGTAATTAATCTTCCCAAGCTGAAGGAATGGGAGTTGATTTGTTCCCCCTGGCCTTTGCACCGAGAGCCCTGAAGGGGGTTAAAGCCTCTCAACAGTCAAAGAAGGATCAGATGGAAGTTACCCTTGATGTAGTCTGAGAATGGCACTGGCCGCTAGATTGCGTGCCAAAAATACCAGCCGGGAACGTGGTAAAATGGTGCTGGCCATTAAATTGAGCGCAAACACAGCAGCAAACCTTTGCTGTCCCAATCACCTCAAAAATGGCTCCTTTGTAATTGGGAGACGAGGAGGAGAGAACAAGGGCTCTGACACCCCCACCCCTTTGTTCACCGTGGGGAGGAATCGTCTCGGATGAAAAAGGACAAGTCACGCTTCTTTTAAACAGCATGGCTCAAAGAATCGCAATGGCAAGTCTATTAGCGTCTGGCCCCAATCAACATGAATGTGGCCGGATTGCTGTTGCCAATCCGATGATAATTCCGATAGCTTTGAGCTCTAATTGTTGTCGGATTTCAATTTGACATGAATTTAGAATTTACAGATGGAAGATCAAACCTCAAAACTCGCTCCTATTCTGGCCAAGGAGAAAGCTGCCTATCCAACGAAGGCTGAGCTAAAATTGGGAGACGCTAAGGAGGAGCCCATGGAGGAGGAGGAGGGTCCTACCAATTAAGCCCAGCCTATCCGAGCAAAGACTAAGCACCTCCCACTACTGGATGCTTGGAGCAGCTCACTGGAGAATCTAGTAGTTCTGCTAGATATTTTGAAACCTCCACCCAGAAGGGAGAAACAGAATGTGAAGTGGGTGTATAGGGGTCGCTAACAATGCTTTGAGCTCTAAGCACATAGCACTTTTAAGCAGTATCCTGAATAATAGGAAGCAAGCTTCCTATAATCTTTTCAGCTCTCCTTTCCATTCTCTGTATGGACCTTGGACCTTCTATCTGAGGCATTGCTACCACCAAACCAAACAGTAATGCAAATTTGTTAAAACGGTTTCAATTGTGCCTCTGTAAAAAGTGGCCAGGACAGAAGGAGAAAGATTTGCTCTCCAATGCAGGAAATGCAAATGCTGGTTTGTACACTTCACCAAGGATAGCATATTTTTATATTGTCTGAAAAAAACACACGAATATAGCTTTAAAAGCAATCTGGGACTACTTTGTCTAACCTAATTTTCAAAATATTTTTATGATAATACTAGCACTAGGTACAAATCTTTCATTTTAAAATATTAAAAATGTTCAAAACTGTTGTAAATTGACATTACAATTCAATAAAGGCAGGCAGGAAGTAGAATTATATTTCAACAGAGATTTTATTTCATTAAACAACAGTGCTGAAAGATTTTACTATATGACATACCCATTTCTATGTAGGAAATTTTCTTTTCAATAAAAGCTTAATGCACACTGAATATTTATCTAAGAACATCTTGGTTGATTTTTAGGTGTCACAAAATAAAATCTAATAAAATGTTCTGTCACTATGTTAAACATTGAGAATATTTTCCTGTCTTTGCAATATAAAGCCTTAGTAACTATGGACACTTACATAAAAGTTGTGAAAAAGCTAGGTATATATAGCACAGGAAACTAATGCCTAGAAGTAGAAGCAATTAGAAGAAAATTGTACTGTGAATTAAAAAGCCATGCCATGATCCTAGATATCAATCAATGAAAATATGCTCTCCTTGTACTGTTCTACCTTGTCCGCAAACATGCTCCTGTCAGAAATCTTTGCATGTACTCAACAATAGATGTATTAAGTAGAAGAACATAGGGTTCAATTTCATCTCTACAAACTTAATTGTATAAGAGATTCAGTAGCTTAAGCTGTAATATTTTACACATGGAGTTAACAAAAAGGCCACAAATACAAAGAATCATAACAATAGTTCCCCTCTTTATCTATCCCATCCACAAACAAAATGATGGAATAACAAAGTACAATGTACTTATCCACATCATCCAGCTTCCAAGATCCTGGTCAATCTACACATGTAGTGTATTTTTATTCATAAACATTTTATTACAAATTAAGGTTTATTATGTGCATCATTATTATAGTGAGTTTATTTTTCAAAAATTCATCTCCTAAACATTTCTTGTGTTGTTTTAAAGACTCCCACCACCACCACCACCTGAACAAGTCTAAATTCCTGGTGAATATATATGGATAAATCCATGCAATTAATTGGCAACAATATTTGTGAAATGATTTGCCATTGACTTTTTCCTGAGAGTAAGATAAAGTGGTCCAGCTAGTTTTATGACTAAGGCAGGTCTAGAACTCACTTTCCCAGCTTCTAGCCCAGTGCCTTTAACCACTACACTGAACTGCTTCTTTTAATAAAGCTATCTTTTCAAAATGTTATTTTTCTAACTCTTCTACAATTCCATAGTATCTTTTCTAATAATTTATAAACTCTTACTTTCATTCTCTCCTCTACCTATTGCTATCTCTACCTTTAACAAGATTTTGCTTTTGTTTACAATTATTCTCTCCTTCCTTGCATAAGAAAGTTTTCTTAATAATCAGTTAATTAGACATGTTTGGGCTATTTCTGAAGTTGCCAACTTTCAAATCAGCTAGGGTAGACGAGGACAGTCTTGTCAATCATTCTACTATTCTACACAGCTTTACTTGTTTTCATCTCTTCTAGGAACTTTATGTCAAGTCTTTTCTTTATCGACAATACTTAGATCATAACCATCTATTTGCTGAACAATAACATCTTCCCTTCAAGCTCTGCCCCTTTTGCAGAACAGTTTTTCTCCTCCTAATGGACAGTATTTTTTTCTTTAATTCTCTTAACCTCACTACATCATGCTGTATGCCATCAAAAAGTATAATAAAATATGGGACTCATTTGTACAAAATAGAATAGTTAAAAAGTATGATAGCTATATAAGATAGATATATCATAATGTTTGCAGTAAATAATTATATAGAGAATTGTAATCTTACTATTGTAACATATGTTCTATATTTTAATTTGTTGTATTTTTCTTCGCTTTTAACCATTTATCATATTTTTGATAATATATTTGTGTTTTGTTTCTTTTGTTATTTTAAAAACATTTAAATTATTTTATAAAAAGTTCTATATAAACGTATGAAACTTATGTGATCTTGAAACCTTCAATAGCAAAGGGGATAGTATTAAACATGATTTTTTTTTTTTTGCAAAAACATAAGAATATATTAAGAAAACAAGCAGTACAACGTCAATTTTTTTTCTGCACTATTCAAAACTAATACAAAATGGAATCTTTTAAATGTATTTACGTGTTTTTAATGCGTATAATACATGCATACTGCAACTTGTTTTAGCCTCTTACCTGTACAACTTTGTAGAAATAGGCATACTGTCGGGCAGTATTTTTATACTGGCTAAAAATATCGTGTATGGCCTGAGTTGACTGAAGATATTGAACTTCATCTTCCTCAAAGTAAAGAGCAGTATTATATTCATTTGGGAGGGTCTGGATATAAGGTAGCCAGAATGAATTAGGGTTGTATCGTTCACAGAGAAGATGAAAAGCTAATGTGATATTGCCCATAGCTTGGAGAATTCGATCTTGAGAATATAGAGAACCTTAAAAAAAGGAAAGAAAGGACCTTGTAAGAAAATCTTAGTCCCTCTAAAATTAAGGGAAAAAAATCTTAACAAGTATCTATTTTATACCAGAATGAATTTATCTCCTATCATAGGAGATAAATACACAAGGCAATAATTTAAATATATATCATCATATTAAATATTAAGGAGGAAAATTCTGCAATGAAAAAAATACAGAGGTAACTTTTGTAAGCTATTTTGCAGAGGACACTCGGGCTCTGAAAGTGGCACAGATCAGTGTTTAGCGGAGGCCATGGAGGCGCTAAGCAGGAGGGGCAGCTTGCTGCCCCCACCCTTCCTGGTACAGGGAAAAAATGGAGGGAAATATAAGACCTCCCGGAAACTAAGACCTGATGCCTTTTTTGGCGGTTCAAAAAATATAAGACCCAGTCTTATTTTCAGGGAAACACGGTATCAGTATGTTCTTTATTATTCCTAAATCTTCTAATACAGCATAACTTTAAATCCACTGACACAATTTAGGTTTGTGGGATTATGTTCCTTCATTATATTATTTCAGTGTTTCAATTTTTTTCTGAGATGACAATAAATTGTAGTGCTATGACTCAGGCAAACATTTAGAATTAAGAATACTCAAACATTTATCAAATTTAGGAATTTTACTAAAACAGAAATCTTAGCTTTTCCAAACAAATAACTATTCATAGTTTCTCTCCAAGTTCCCTATATCACTACTGAAAAATAGACATTTAATTATTACTACTGTTAAATATATGGTTGTTAATTCTACCTGAGAACTTATAGCATTGTTCCATAGAAAACATCCTATACATACACCTTAGATTTATCTGTTAATAGTTTCAAAAACTCTTCTTACCCAGGATTGAATTTTTAGCTGACTCTACAGTCATCAACAATTTTCTGGGAACCCAGAGAAAAAGTTCTTCTGCCTATAAAAGTCACAAGAATAGTTCACAATATTATATATATATATCAAATAAACATAACATTTCAGATAGTAACCCAGCTCCTTTTTTGCAAACTTACAAAGTGTACATGAGTTGCATGTCTTCACTATTGGGCTTCCTAATGGATAAATTCTTGGTCACAAGTTAGTCATGTAACTGTCATTTGCCTAGGCACAAAATAAGAGATTGGAGTGCATGAACTCCATGCCAAATGAACAAAGGAAGGACTATGTCAGACTCAAATTTCTGTAAATGTTTTCAACAAAACAGCATTTAGATTCATATAACCCATAGTATTTTACAGAACTCTCTGGGCTGTTTACAAAGCCAGGATATTGGCCCAACAATTTTTTTTCTTTTAATGACTCCGTAATTCCTTGCAACGAGGTACAGTTGGCACGACTGAATGGAGTAGAACATGGCTGTCAAACTTGCTGCATTACGTTGCTGTCACGTATTTCATGACATTTTTCCCCTTCGTGGAGCTGGGGTGGGCGTGGCATGTGTGTGACATATCCGGCCCATGGGCCGCCAATTTGACACTCCTGAATTAGAGCGTTTACTGGCCGGATTCCCTTCCTGACACCTATGCGGAGCTCACACATTTTTTCTCTGCAACCCGAGAGAGTTATCAACCACGACCTAAGATTGAACTCAGCTTCCCAATTGTAAGGCAAGAGCTCCACCTCTAGGTCACCACGGTGCTCATATTACCCAAAAATATGGCTCCTCATTTGAGGATGGAAGGCTAAGAAAACTGTGAGTTTGTTAGGATCAAACTCCTGGCTGCGGCCAGTTATTCTCCAATACTACATTTGTATCACTGTGCCACCAGGGTTCATAAAAAAGGAAGAAAGCTTTACTATATTTTCTGACTACAGAAAATGTCTGTGATAACTTGGGGGGGGGGGCGGAGCTGGCGTCTCAACGGTACAGTGTGTGATCTTGAAGCTCCAAGATCGCCGCTGATATCTCTGTTGCAGGACGGTCCCACCGGACCTAAACCGTCCTGTAGTGACTGAGGAGGGCACATCCTGTTGATCCCAGGGACATCGCAAAGTCCCTGGTTGATCCAGGAAAAGCCCTTTTGCCAGTGGCGGAGAGGCAGCCATTCAAGCTGCTGAAGCTGGGACAGCTCCGGAACGGAAGAGATTGAAGGAAAGTGTGTCAGCTTGGTGAGATGAACTTTTACTTATTATTACTTGAAGAGAACATCCTGAAAGATTTACAGTGAAATTAAAAGTGAAGAGGAAAGAGTTTAAGCGGCGAAATTAAACAAGTTGAAGTGAAAGTTTTTTTTTCTTTTTCCCTTTTTATTGGAACTTTGAAATTGGTAAAGTTACTGAACTTTGAACTGGACTGGTTTCTTTTAAATTTTCATCCTTGTTTTTATTTTTATTTTTTTAAAATAATTTTTTGAAAGTGTTTTGATTAAGACTCTTTTGGATTTGATTTGTATTTTTTTTCCAAAAAAAAAAAAGAGGAAGGATTCCATTTTCTCTTTTTGTTTCTGGTACTGGATACAAGAGGGGGGAGTGAAAGTGAAGGGGGGGAAAAGTAGCACTGCCATTTAGAGGCTTGGACATACAGTTTGTTTCTTTGTCAGTTTGTTTATGTACTTGCTATACTCGAGGACTTTGAGCTTTGCAATGGAAAAGATAGTGGGATGAGCATGGTAGATTGTTTATACAGGTGCTCATCTGTGAAACTAAATAATTCCTTTTCTCTTTTTTATTAAGAGAAATAATTGGATTAAGGTACATAAGTGCCTGAAGATTTTTCTTCCCCCCACCCCCTTTTTTGGGAGTGGCAACTGCCTGCCTGTACTCCTTTTTTTTTTTCCTTTTTCCCTTTTTCTCTCTTCCTCTCTACAGGTAAGCACACGATGAGCAGAAAGACAACAGCACCAGCTTCCTCAATACCAATAGCCTCTTCACCATCTGGAGGACAACTATCAATACAGACAATCTTACAACAGGAGAAAGAGAAGGAAGTGACATTACAGATGATTATGCAAGGAATCCAGAAGATTGAAAAGAGAATGGAGAATATTGAGCCAAGAATTGAAAAGACAGATGAGAAAGTAGAAAATATTCAACAGATGATGATGCAATTTGAAGATAGTTTTTTTAAAAAAATGAAGAAGATATGCAAAGTGACAAGAAAATTGGAGATACTGATACTTGATTGAGTGATATTGAGAAGGGCAGATGAGAACCATTAGGATGGGAAAGTGACAGATCAGAATTCTACCTAAGATTTCAAAATGTAGAAGGAAAAGGTGAAAATCTTGCTGAAATAATGACAGAAATACTGGCAGAAGCGTTAGAAATAATCAAAGAGAAGATGATGGATGGGATGGATGAAGTGTTCCATGTATATACAAGATATGCAATGAGAAACAGACTACCAAGAGAAGTTCACATCAGATTCACTAAAAAGATTATCAAGACACAGATACTGCAGGTGGCAAGAGAGAAAACTTTAAAGTACAAAGATAAAGAAATTGTGGTGCTGTAACATGTACCAAGAAGAGTAAGAGAGATGAGAAGAGAATATTTATTTTTGACCAAAGAGTTACTTAAAAGAGGAGTAAATTACAGATGGCTGATGCCAGGTCTCTTGTTCACCTGGCAGGAACAAAGTCACAGAATTGACACAGTTGAAAAAGCTGAGCTATTCTACTTAGAATATTTTAGAGGAAAAGAGGAAGAAGCTAGAAAGGAAGAGTCACTAATTGAATTCCAAGAGGAGTGTATAGCAGTAATTGAAAAAGAGAAAGAAGAAGGTGCGGTAGGTGGTGTACCCAGAGAGCAACGAGAATTAAGACCTACTAGAGCAATAAAAACCCCTCAAAAAGCCTAACATGGATGAAAGAAAATTGATTACGATTAACATAAATGGCCTTAATCTGGCCATTTAAAAGAAGGAAAGTATTTCATAAACTAGAGAAATTGAAATTTGATATAATTTGCTTACAAGAAGTACATATTAAAAAACAACATATATACTTAAACAAAAAAAATTAGGGAAATTATTTACATCGCTGGCACAATCTAAAAAAAGAGGTGTGGTTTTATATATTAAAGACACGATTTTGGCAGAATTAATTTATACAGATGACGATGGAAGGATTTTGATGGTGGAAATAATGGACAATAATGTTAAAACACTTTTAATTGCAATTTATGCTCCAAATGATAACCAAGAAGAATTTTACAGGAAATTACATAGGAAAATAATTGAATTGGACTATGTTAATATTTGTATGATGAGAGATCTTAGTGGAATAGTTAATGATCGGTTGGATTACAAAATGCAGAAATCAACAAAGAAAGCTAGAAAGATATTACCAAAATCCTTCTTTCAAATAACAGAAGAATTCAACTTAAAAGATGGTTGGATAGAGAGAAACGTGGAGAGTAAGCAATACACCTTTTACTCAAACAGACACGCTTCATGGTCTAGAATAGACATGATATGGATGTCAGCAGAACTACTGGCTAACTTACAAGAGATCGAAATAGAAACAAGCACTTGGGCAGATCATAACCCAGTGACAGTTACTTGGAGAGGATACAAGAGGAGATCCAGATGGACCTTAAATAATACGATATTAAAAGAAAAAGACTTTAAACAGAAAATAGAGAAAGAACTTGCTTTCTTCTTTAAAGAAAATAGAAAAGAGGATACATCTCTACAGAACCTCTGGGACACGATGAAGGCCTACACAAGAGGCTTGATAATAGACTGTACAAGGAAAAGAAATATAAAACAGAAAAAGACTTTCAAAATATTAGATGATTATAAAAAACTGGAAAAAGACTTACAGAAGTCCCCGCAAAAAAAAAAAAAAAAATTAAAAATAAAATGGATATAATTAAACATAAAATGGGACAAATGGAAAAAGAGGAACTAGCAAAAAAATTAAAAACTCTAAACAGAATTACTTTGAAGATGCAAATAAACCAGGCAGATGGCTAGACTATAAATTGAGAAAGGAGAGAGAATCAAGAAGGATTAGCCAACTAATAAATGAAGAAGGACATACATGTTATGGAAATGAGGAGAAGAAAAAAATTATACAAGATTACTATGGGAAATTGTATTTTCAAGAGAATATTCAAGAAGAAAGTTAAGCAATATTTACAAAAGCGAACTTACCTCAGATACCTAAAGATATTGAAACAATGCTAGAAGGGAATATAACAATGATGGAATTAACAGAAGCTTTAAAAAACAGAATGTTGGAAAAGCACCACGTCCAGATGGCTTACCAACGGAATTTTACAAGACCTTTCAGGAAATACTGAATCTTCACCTATTAGAAGTTATGAATGAAGTTATGTTAAAGAAAAAAATACCCAAAACATGGACAGAAGCATACATTACACTTATACCAAAGGAAGATACAGACCTACAGCAAGTTAAAAATTACAGACCTATATCCCTATTAAATTCAGACTATAAAATATTTGCTTCAATCTTGGCAGAAAGACTAAAAAGATACTGAAATAACTTTATCCATATTGATCAAAATGGATTCCTTCCAAAGAGACAAATCAAAGACAATGTGAGAATTATTTTGGATACTGTAGAATACTATGAGGCACATCCTGAGAAGCAAATTGCTTTGATGTTTTTAGACGCACAAAAAGCCTTCAACAATGTGAGTTGGCAATTTATGTTATTGCAATTGGAACAAATGGGCTTTGGTAAAAAATTCATTCAAGCCATTGAAACGATATATTATGAACAAACTGCAAAAGTTATGGTAAATGGAGAACTAAGAGAATCTATAGATATAAAAAAAGGGACACGGCAAGGTTGTCCACTGTCGCCCCTGCTGTTTGTGTTATCATTGAAAGTGTTGAATAGGAATATTATAGAAGATAAAGAAATAAAAGGAATGAAAATCCAAGAGTATAAAATGCAAGTTTTTGCAGATGACCTGGTATTTATATTAGAAGACCCATTGGAAA